AAGCTGCTAATCACCAGTTCCCCCTAGTTGTGGCCTTCTGAATCATTTGAATGGTTTCCATGGAGGAATGCTCAAGTTTCACACAAAATTTGATGCAGATTTGTTGCTCTACTTTCTCAGTCACTTTGAATGCGATGGCTACACAGTGTACATGCTCACTCAAAGGCATCTACTGCCCCCTGACTAGTACAGTGAAGTCGTCATTGTTCACACATGCACATTCCAGTCCACTCTCCTCGGCTGCTAGGTTACATGGATGTTGTGCAAACTGTTCTCATTATATTAACAATGGCTGTACTTTTTCCAGATAGAATTCATACATCTCTTTTTTACTAATGGCTGCCTTCATTTTACTTTGAAGCTCAAACAGGTCTCTTACATATTGATATTTTACCTCTTGTAGTCTCTACCTATTGCCCTGGCTCCCTGCCTGTGGCCTCCACCCCCATCCCTGCCAAGCATATTCCCTTCTTTTCCTCACAACCTGTTTCTTCCAAACCTTCTGGCTGTCAAGGGTCACACTAGCTGGTATAGTTTGAAGCTGGGATTCCAACTTGGTTCTGACTGCAAAGTCTGTGCTCTTTTCACTACACCATCATGACCATCAGGAAAAGGAAATGGAATTTGAGCTGAACCTTGAGGGAATGACAGAATTTGTTAGGCAGAAATGGGTAAAGAAAGCACTGTAATAACACAAAGCTCTTTTGCCTAAATTCCTAATGCAGGGAATAGAAAGTGATAAAGCTGTGGAGCTGAGTTAGCCCATAGGCATGTGTTGTGCCTTACACTTGCTTAATGCTTTGTTTTAATCTTCACATCTGCTCTGGGAGACAGATGTTGTAATCCCCACCTAACCCTCGAGAAGACTGAAGGGGTCCCTTCTATGACTTACCTGGGGTTTCTCAGCTGTTAGTAGGCTGAATTAAATTTAGAATCCCTTTTTTTCCAACTCTAGGGCCTTGGTTCTTTCTACTTCATATAAGGCTAAGGGGTTTTAAGTAGGAGTGCAAAGTGATTGGAATTCTATTTAGGAAAGACAGTGATAAAAGAGTAGCCTAGGTCATGCTATCTATCTATCTATCTATCTATCTATCTATCTATCTATCTATCTATTAGAGAGGCGAAAGGAGGGAGAAGGAGAGAGAGAGAAACATCAGTGTGTGGTCCCCTCACCTGGGCCTCCTACTGGGGACCTGGCCCACAATCCAGGCATGTGCCCTGACTGGGAATCAAACTGGCAACCATTTGGTTCACAGGCTGGTGCTCAATCCACTGAGCCACACCAGCCAGGATGTACGTCATGTTTTTAACCAATACTGAGTATCATTTGAAGGCCGTAACCTTTAATCTAGCGCTAAAATTTGGAATTAAAAATGATTCTATGCAGAAACTTAAGTGCCTTAAAAGCCATCAAGGGTCAGTTATTTATAAGGTGGTCCTCACACCTGCAACTTCAGTATAACTCTAAGGTTTATTAAAAATGCAAATTGTCACACTCCTACCTCAGACTCACTAGAACAAAAATCTCTGAGGTGGAGCCCAGGAGTCTGTGTTTTTAGGTAAGCTCTCCAGGTGACTATTAGTCACAGAAATATTTGATAAAGCCCTGATAATACTCTCTGGCCACTCAGCCTTCTCTCCTCATTTCCTGGTTGTCAGGAGGGTTCATCTTAAAATGATTTCCTTGATAGTGGACCAGAAACTTCATCTGTGCACTAAATGATATGTACTTTATTGGTGAAGAATATCATTATTGATATCTAGGAGCTTGACTCCTTTACTCTCTATAGCATCATACAGACTCTAACATAAACATTAACTCACATATAAAGGTGGTAGTAGATAGGAAAAAAATCTTGAAGGATGCACACCAAGCCATTGTTAAAGAAACAGTCATTCGGCCATGGCCAGGCAGCTCAGTTGGCTAGAGCGTCATCCTGATATGCCAAGGTTGCAAGTTCGATCCCTGGTCAGGGTACATATGAGAAGCAACCAATGAATGCATAAATAAGTGCAACAACAATCAATGTTTCTCTCTCTCTTCATCTCTCTAAAATCAATAAATGAAATTTAAAAGAAAAGGTTATTCATGACATTTGCTGAAGAATTGGAGAGTAGACTTTATTCAGGGGAACCACAGCATTGGGATTTTGCAAGAGGAGAGAGATTGGGCTCAACTCCAAATACAACAAGAAACAATGAGGGTTTATGTCGGTGGAGCAGAGTGGGGGTTGTTCAGTGGAAAATTACTGAGAGGATATGGTAATTCTTTGCTAAACTAACCTAACAGGATTCTTGCTGAAGGCAGACTAGGGTGATCAGATAATACTTGGCAGATGGCAAAGGATGAAGAATTCGATCAGGTATCAAGGGTGGGGGATTCTGGCTAAACTTACTTGACGCAGGAGTTTTGCTAAAACTGGGGTCTTGCAGAACATGCCCAAGGATGGGGCTTAGTGAGGCTTATCGGCGTCTGACTAAAGTTTGGTCAAGAAGAGAGTCTCGCCCTGGTTGGTGTGGCTCAGTGGATTGAGCGCCGCCCTGCAAACTGGAAGGTCACCGGTTCAGTTCCTAGTCAGGGCACATGCCTAGGTTGTGGGCCAGGTCCCCAGTTGGGGTCATGTAAGAGGCAACTGATCAATGTATCTCTCACACATTGGTATTTCCCTCCATTTTTTTCTCCCTCCCTTCCCCCTCTCTGAAACTAAGTAAGTAAAATCTTTTAAAAGGAGGAGGAGGAGGAGGAGGAGGAGGAGGAGGAGGAGGAGGAAGAGGAGGGGGAGGGGAGGGGGAGGAGGAGGAAAGAAGAGGAAGAAGAGGAAGAAGAAGAAGAAGAAGAAGAAGAAAGAAGAAGAAAGGAGAAAGAAGAAGAAGAAGAAGAAAGAAGAAGAAAGTCTCTACCACTACAAACAGTGACTACTGTGGGGAAAGTTACAGGATTGTGGAGAAGTAAAGGGAGGGGCTTTAACTTTTCCCCCCTACATTTTTATTTTTGGCCTTTCTGTTTGGAGAACCATTTATATCTTTCAATATTTTAAAAGATGTATTTTGATAGAGAATTCTGACGTGTTTTTAAATGGGTACTTTTTTTTGTTTCATGTAGTTTTACCAAAAGTAATAAATAATACTGTACCATCCATTATCAAACTTGGAGAACTTCTACATAAATTTATTGAGAGTGGCATCTATTTTAAGAAGTAATCAGCTTTTTTTCTTCTTACTTAGTAGTGAGTTTTATTTTTAAAAATAAAATTCAAATGAATGACCTTAATGTGACAGATGATATTTTGTTGAAACTAATTGCCTAGGTCCATTTAGTACTAGAAATATGTATTTAAATGTTTTGTTTTACCTATTGATGGGATTATTTTGATTTTGAGCGCAACGGAACATCATTTGAGTCAGTGTCACTATTTCATTGTTATAGCAGTGAATACAGCTTCACGTTGTGACTAAAACTAGAAAGGTTGGCATTTGCGCTTCTTTTCATTACAGAACCAATAAGTGGAAACAAAGATGGAATGTTTTTGAGTGCTTTATTCATATGGCCTGTGATCTGAGAAGACAGTGGGTTATATACCCTCAGAAATTGTCTTAACATCATTTCAAGCTGACCTTTTTTTAAGGAGAAGAAAGGGTGGGTAAGGGGTTTGGAATAAAGGTTAATAGAAGAAGAGTTGCAATCTGGTAGTGGTATTTTCCTTTTTTCTCTGTTTATCAACAGTTCTTTATCTGCATCACCTGCATTCCCCCCGCAGAACACAGTGGCTCCATGGCTTGCACAGCCCATGGGGCACAGAGTTTGAGTTGCTTGTCATCCTCCTGGAATCACATGGCTACGCATTCCAGTACCTGGAATAATAGCTTTCCACATCATTAGTCACTGAAGTCTATCAAATATAGCAAAGGCTAAAATATTTAACTCTTGAGTTCCCTTATCATAACCATGGAACTAATTCCTTTGGCACCAGTTATTTTGAGTTACAAATGCCTATGAACCAGTTCCTCAGCGCTGTTTCTTTCTGCCACCACAGTACTATCATTGTTCACATACTGCACTATGATGTCATTTGGCCTTTGTTAAGCATCAATATAACTTTAAACACAAACACCAATGCAAATCCTAACATGTTCTATAGAGAGGTAGCCATTCTTGGAATATGTGAAGGTCCTTGTTATGCTGAGGAGGAGGGCAAAGATAATGAAAAATTTGAGACTGTTAAAAAAATTATAAGTGTGTGCATATTGAATATTTTAAACATATAAAGGAAACCACTCAATTTGCAGTTTCTAAAGTGGTAGAAAAGAAGAAAGAATAGAAACCAGAAAACTGTCTAGCAGACATTTCTGTGATGATGGAAGTGTTCTCTTCCTGTGCTGGCCAATATGGTAGCCACTTGGTGCAAAGAGCTGTGGAGCACTTGAAATGTGGCTAAGGTGACTGAGAAACTGAATTTTTAATCTTACTTAATTTTAATTAATTTAAATGGCCACATGTGTTTAGTGACTACCATATTGGACAATGCAGACCTACCTAGATCAGGTGTTTATCAAAGTCTAAAGTGCAGGAGAATCACCCAGGGATCTTGTTAAAGTGCAGGTTCTAACCCAGCCCGTCTGGCCTGGGTCTGTGACTGCATTTCTAACCAGCTCCTAGGGCATGCTCACGCTTCTGGCCCAGGGACCATACTTTGAGAAGCAACTATCTGGAACATACTTGTATCCATTTATTTTAGATGATCTCCTAAAAGGAAGAAGCAAACTTTAAAATTCTCACAGAAGAAAAGATTCTCACAGAACTCTAGGATTTTCAGGCGTTCACACCCTGGCGCACAGCCAGAAAGGTTTAGTGGGCTTCTCTAGAGGCTTTACCCAGGGACCTGCAGGAGGCTGGATTTTTCATTATGCTTGCCATATAAGGTTAAAAGGAATCTTCTGGTGAAGACACCTGTTTCGATCTTTCCCGCTTTTTCTAAAAGAAAAAATAATCTTCCTTACAGGTTTTATGTGTGAAGCTGTGTGGAAATCTGCAATACTGTCGATCACAGTTTTCCAGTACACTGGTGCCACCGGACGGTAAGCTTTCTTAGCACTTCGTTCATTCCTATGCTAATTCATTTCCTTTCTTCCAAATGAAGTGAGAAGTGTGAGGTTTGAGCAAAACCAACCTTTCTTGCCTTCTCCCACCCATGACACCTACACCTGGCTCCGTTCAGTTCCTCCCTTCCTGTTCCCCTAATGTTTCTGATGTCTTTTGGCAAACTCCCACCCCAGCAATCAGAACAATTATAGATGAATGAGAAGCAGTTTCCGCTCTCAGAAACTTCATTCTTTACCTACAAATACTCTAAGATGATTATAACAGTGTATATAAGCTCTGATAAAATGGCATAGAAGGGCAGGGAAATCTGTAAGCTGCAGTATGATGAAGGCACTACAGCAGCCAAGCAAGTGACTACAGGAATTCAGGGACCTGTGAATTACACGTTTAAGCATTCCTTTTAGAATTTATGTATTTTAAAGTTATTTGTATAAAAAATAAATTTTATATTTCTATGTTGTATTTTTTATTTCTTAACAGAAATAACAGTTAATTATAGACATGGCCTTCCCTTGATAACACTCACTTTGCCATCCAGAAAAGAGCGCTGTCAATTTGTGGTCAAACCAATGTTAACAACAGTTGGTTCATTTCTTCAGGACATACAAAATGAAGATAAAGGTGTAAAAAATGCGGCCATCTTCACAACAGGTAAAAAGAATATGTGTGTGTGTGTGTGTGTGTGTGTGTGTGTGTGTATATATCTTTTCAACTTCGTCTTTTTCTTTTTTCCTGAACCTTTGTTTTGCTTCTTTACTTTTTAAGAAAGAAGTTGATTTTTAAATTCTTTGTATAATAATTGGTTGGTCTTCATTGAGACCTTGATTTTTATACTCAATAATATTAAAAACATTAACTCTATTGAATTAAAATTAATGGAATAAATTTAGTGCAACTTTCAGTTACTTATTTCATAAACTTAGCCCTGAGGAAAAGGGATTTTTAAAAATATATTTTTGTTTTTAGAGAGAGGGGAAGAGAGGAAGAGAGTGAGAGTACATCGATGTGAGAGAGAAACAGTCGGTTGCCTCTCTCACACGTCCCAGCAGGGGACCAAACTCACAACCCAGGCACGGATCCTGACCCCAGAGTCCAGCTAGCAACCTTTCGCTCTGTGGGATGGCACTCAACCAACTGAGCCATGCCGGCCAGGGCCCTGAGGAAATTTTAATGGCACAGTCATCAGTGTGTAATTTTCAGCAATATTTGAATAATTAAAAACCAAAATGTAGTTTCAATAAAATATCCAGTGAACAATTAAAATACACAAGTAGTTATTTTGTCTTTGTTATAAAGCAATTTCAGTATAGTATGTTTTATGACAGAATTGGTTCTCAGGAAGAATATAGATATTTTTTAATACCAGCGGTGGTGTTTAATCATTTAGACATTATAAATTTAAAGTATAGCTCTCATGTCCTTGAGGTCTGACATGGCCTTAGACCTACTGCCCCTAAAACAGGCAACGAAGTGTTTACCCCAACCCAACATACAGAGGCTACACATATGAATAAGTGAATAAATTTGCATTGTTATTTTATGGTAATATTACCTGATTGAAATAAGCTTATTTAAAAGTTGAATACTGTTGCAGTTTTGAAAAGGAAATAAACATTCTTCTTTCCTGTCCAAGTTCAGAACTAATGAAGGGTAGATATAGAAGTTGGAAAAATGGAGATTAAAGAATTTATTTACTCAACAAATATTTATCGCATACCTAACCTGTACCAGGCACTGTTCTAGACGCTAGAGGTAGAGCAGAGCAAAGCTCCTGTCCTTCTAGAGCTTACATTTCAAATGGAGAAATAAGCAAGGTAAAGAAATAAAATATATAAATTATTAGATAATAAGTGCTATGGAGGAAAAATAAAGCAAAGTGGTGGTGGCGGGGGAGCGTGTGTTGTAGGGGGAGGTGCTTCGCAGAGGCGAGAGCTCTGCACAGGGGAGGAGAGCTCTCCCGGCCAGGCCCTGAGGTGGGAGCCGGCTTCTTTGCGGCTGCAAAGGGGAGAGCTGGATGGAACTCGGAGGGGAGGTCCAGAGGGGGAAAGCCTTGCTGTAGGTCACTGTGAGGACTTTGGGTTTAACTGGAAGGGGAGTTGTTTTCCTGGTAAAACCAGGATCAGAGAATGGGATTTTAGTCCGATGGCCACAATGGCCTAATACTCCGCCCCTGAGCCAGACAGGTACCCCCCCAGCCACAGGAGCACTGCTCCCCATGGGCCTTCCCCGCAGCGCCAGGGCCTGCCTTCCTGAGCTTCTAAGAGCAGGCGGATGCAACCCTTGAGTGCAGTGCCTGCCTCCATAGGCAGTATGCACTCAATAAATGCTTGTTAAATGAATGAAATAAGAGAGGTTAAGGCAATGATGGATGTGGGGGTGATTTTTTTCCTAAAAATAATTTGAGTAGCTTTGAAACATAAAGCACTCAGAAAAGAACGAGAAATCTTAGAGAAAGGGGGCTTTTGGACTGAGATAAAACACTTCATTGGGGTTTAAATCAATACTGGCTCACGAATAGGTGAAAAATGTCAACACTTAGTCATTAGCTCTTCAAAGTGTTCCACATCAGTCCTTTGCTGTTACTACATTAGTATAAAGGATAATGTAGTACTTCAACTGAGAAATGATACACAGTTGAATTTCTTTTTATAATGATACTTTAAGAAGTTGGTTTGAAGTCATTTAAATGTAAATTTTAAATGACACTTGCAAAAGTCAGATAAAACTATTGGTTTTTGATCTTTTTAAAAGAGGCTCTGTGGGTGGAATTTGCCTGCATTTCATTTGGGCATGAAAAGAGTGTTCTAAACTTGTCACTGTTTTGCCCACTGTGTGGGTTGAATTATTTGGCAATTCCTTAGAAGATGATCTCACCCCAGCTGATGAACAGGAACCCAAACAGCCAAATTCTAGGAACAGACCCAGGTGCAGACTTGACAAAAGAAATACAGGGAACCAGGCAGGAGGCAGGCAACCAGGGTCTTCCTGATTTCCCTGGCAGTATTACTGCTGTGTCACATGTTCATATAGCTGAAATAGCTCCAGTTGAAGGTGACCAAGCAAATGGCCAGGAGAAAATACTCATCCTGAACTTTATAACACATAATTTATAAGTGCACTCTTCTGAAGGAATAACGATAGAAAAAGAAACTCCTAAATGATACCAGCTTTTTGTTTACTGTTCAGTGACTTTGCGTTCTTCACACCTGGGTGACATTAAAGTTTAGTTCAAAAGTGTTAACAACACAAACGAGGCCATATGAGAAGCTGTGCAAAACACACTGAGGTTAAAATTTTCCAAGAGATTTTCTTCCTGAAATGCTCCTAAGATATTTGTAATTACTGTTAGACTCTCCTACCCCTCTCCACCTCCGTAAAATAAACCGAAGAATTGCAGATTTACTGCTTGGGTTTAATTATGTTTATTACTATCCCTGCCACCCCCACCTTTCCATCTTTCGCAGCTTTGCCGCTTTTCATCTTTCCCAAGCTACAAAGGGAGAGAGCCCTGTGTGTGGTGGTTTGTGGTACTGTTTGCCTACCAAGTTTTAACCAACACAAATCAATCACCTATAGTAATTAGAAATAAGTGAAAAGTTGGCTTTTTAAAAAAAATAGAGAGAGGAAGAGAGAGAAAGAGTGAGAGAGAAAAACACTGATTTGTTGTTCCGTTTATTTATGCATTCATAGTTGTTTTTTGTATGTGCCCTGACCGAAGATCGAACCTGCAGTCTTGGTGTACTGGGATGATGCTCCAAGCAACTGAGCAACTGGGCCAGGGGTGAAAGACAGGCCTTATAAAATGGTACTACTGTCCCTGTTCTGCGTGGCTCAGGTTTTGGGCTCAATCCCCAGTTGGGGCTTGTGCAGGAGGCAGCCAACCTGCCCATACCATTTGGGCTTGGCTGTAAGCAGCACAAGTGAACTCCAGTAAGGGGTGCATCAGCTGACTCTGAAATTGGGGTTGCTAGGCCAGGCTCACAAGGCCAGGCTCACAAGGCCAGGCTGTAAAAGTATTTGTATGGAAAGAGATTATTGCTGTTCTAAAACAAGGACATATTTTTTCATTATATTTCTCTTTCAGATGGCAGTAAGATTGCAACTTCAACCTTGATGGAAATTTTGCTAAAGAATGATTTTAAACTTGTCATTAATACAATAACATATGATGTACAGTGCCCCAAAGAAGGTAAGAAACACAGCTATGCAACTATCTTCACAGTTCCCTTTTGCTATGGCACTTCTACAGGGAGCAAGCTGATCTTATGAATCTTTTAAAATAACCAAATGACTGTATTTAGGATCTTTTTAGCAGGGGTATAAATGATCAGTAGAGGTTGCCTAGCAGGACTTTTAGTCTCATATACTCTCTTTAGACTTTTAAAACTTCACTGTAGGAACTTGAATGCTTAATCTGACATTATTGGGTTAAGAAATAGACCTGAAAATCATGAACTCAAGTGTGTATTCTTATACAGCTCTTAACTCTTTTTAAAAATAGATTTTCGTTCTGAGAGCCGTTTTGGTTCATAGCAAGATTGAAAAGATAGTAGAGCGTTCCTGTATCACTTTGCCCACCTCCCCACAGCCTTTCCTACTATCAAGCACCACAGTGGTACATTTGTTACTACCATGAACCTGTATTGACACATCATCATGTAAATTCCATACTTGACAGTATGGCTCACTTTTTTTTCCTCACCTGAGGACATGCCTATTGATCTTAGAAGACAAGAGAAGGAGAGAGAGAGAGAAAGAGAGAGAGAGAGAAACCTTGATCAGTTGCCTCTTGAATGCACCCTGACTAGGGACTGAACCTGCAACCTATGCTTGTGCTCCAACCAGGAACTGAACCCACGATCTTTGGTTTACAGGATGACACTAACCAACTGAGCTACACAGGCCAGGGCTAGGGCTCACTTTTGATGTACATTTATTGGGCTTTGAAAAAATGTATAATGATATATATCCACTATTGTAGTGTCATACAGAATAGTTTCATTACCTATAAAAATCCTCCGTGCTCCACTTATTTATCCCTCCCCCAGCCCTCAACTAATGGCAACCATTGATCTTTTTACTGTCTCCATAGTTTTGCCTTTTTCAGAATGTTAATACAGTTGGAACCATACAGTATGTAGCCTTTTCAGATTGGCCTTCCTAAATTAGTACTATGCATATAAGTTTTCTCCATGTATTTTCATGGCTTGATAGCTTATTTTTATTTAGTGCTGAATAATATTCTATTGTCTGTATCATAGTTTGTTTGTCCATTCTCCTGCTGAAGGACATCTTAGATGTTTCCAAATTTTGACAATTATGGTGGCTATAAACATCTGTGTGCAGGTTTCTGTGTGGACATAAATTTTTAGTTCATGTGGGTAAATACCAAGGAGCATGATTGCTGGATCATATAGTAAGAGTATATTTAGTTTTGTGAGAAACTGACAAACTTTCTTCTGAAGTGACTGCCATTTTGCATTCCCATAAACAGCGAATAAGAGTTACTGTTGCTGTAAATTCCCATCAGTATTTAGTGTTGTCAATGTTTTGGATGTTGGCCATTCTAATAGGTAGTATAGTCGTATGTCATTGTTTTAATTGGCAATTGCCTACTGACATGATTTCAAATGCTTGCTTGCCATTTGTGTATCTTCTTTAGTGGGATGCCCAAGTCTTTGGCCCATTTTTTAAGCAGGTTGTCTATTTCCTTATTGTTGATTTAAAACTTCTTTGCATATTTTGGATTACAATTTATAGTCAGATCTCTCTTTTTATTTTCTCCCAGTGTGTGGCTTGTCTTCTCGTTTTCTTAGCATTGTTTTTCAGAGCACAGGTTTTTTTAATTTTAATGAAGTCCAGCTTCTCAATTATTTCTTCTGTGGATTGTGCCTTTGGTGTTGTATCTAAACGTTGTCTAGGTTTTCTCCTGTGTTATCTTCTGAGAGTTGTATAGTTTTGTATTTTATTGGTTTGACCAGAAAGTCCGTACTGCTTTTTCCATAAAATAAAGGATATATTTTTTATTTTCACAAGTAGTTTTATTGATTTAGATATTTTGAGTATGTTGGCTGTCTCCCGCATGGTATAGTGTTGATTGTTCTCAGATAACGTCTTGATTTGATCACTGTCAACTTCAACTGGTCTACCTGACCATGGAGCATCATCCAGTGAGAAACCTGCAGTACGAAACTTTGTAAACCACTTCTGACACGTTCGATCAGTCACAGCACCTTCTCCATATACTGCACAACTCTTTTTCTGCCTTTCAATTGTTTTACTTTTCTTGAAATAATAAAGCATAATATGCCAAAAGTATTGCATGTTTCCTTCCATCTTCAATATTAAAATGGCTACAGAAAAATTCACCAGTTTTGATGTTTTTTAAAAAATGCACACTGATATGACAGCTTTCACAGTACAATCTAACAAAATTGTTTAGAATGAAGTTAGAGACAACTAAGCACTACTAGAACCATCTTATGGAAAAAAAACAAACTTTTTGGCCAACCCAATACATTTAAATCTATGATTTATTTTAAATTAATTTGTGTGACATGTATAAGATCTGAGGCTAGATTCATATTTTTGCATGTGGAGGTACAATTCTTCCAGCATCATTTGTTGAAATGACTGTCTCTATTCCATATTGTTCTTGCCCTTTTGTCAAAGATCAGATGACTATATTTATGTGGGTCTGTGTCTGGGTTCTCTATTCTGTTCCATTGATCTATTTTTGCTTTACCAGTACCACACTGTCTGGGCTACTGTAGCTTTATAATAAGCCTTAAAGTTGGGAAATGTCAGTCCTCTGACTTTATGCTTCTTCCGTACTCAGTTGGCTGTGCTAGGTCTTTTGAGTATCCATGTAAACTTTAGATTAAGTTTATTGATGTCCACAAAATAACTTGCTAGGATATTGATTGGGATTGTGTTTAATTATAGATAAATTTGCAAAGAACTGATTTCTTGACAATATTGAGTCTTTGCATAATCATGAAATATCTCTTCATTTATTTAGTTCTCTTGATATCTTTTGTCAGGCTTTTGTCTTACAGATTTGGTACATACTTTGTTAGATTTATACCTATTTTCAATTTTTAGGTGAAACTATGAATGGGAATGTGTTTTTAACTTCAAATTCTACTCATTTATTGCTGGTATATAATACAGTGATTGATTTTTATATATTAAGCTTGTGTTCTAGAACCTTGTAATAATTGCTTATTAGTTCCAGGAGGATTTCTTTTTGTTGTTGATTCTTTCAGGTTTTCTACATAAGCAATCATCTGCAAAGACAATTTTATTTTTCCTTTGCTTTGTAAACATATATATATTATTTTTCAAATAGAGTTGGCATTCAATATTATATTAGTTTTTGGCGTACAACATAGTGTTTAGACATTTGTATACCTTAACAAGTGATCAACCTGATAAGTCTAATACCCATCTGACACCATGAGTAGTTATTACAATATTATTGAATGTATTCCCTATGCCATACTTTACATCCCTGTGACTTTTTATAACTGGAAATTTGTATTTCTTAATCCTTTCTCCCTTTTTACCCATCTCCCAATACCCCTTGCATCTGGCAACCAGCAAAATGTTCCTTGTATCTATGAGTTTGTTTTCATTTTGGTTACTTTACTGAATTAATTTATCAGTTCAAAAAAGGTTGTTTTATGTTTTTGGTGGAGTCCTTATGATTCTCTCTATATAGTATCACATCATCTGCACATAATGCCAGTTTTACTACTACCTTTCCAATTTGTATGGCTTTTATTTCCTTTTCTTGTTTGATTCCTGTGGCTAGGACTTCCAATACGATGTTGAATAAAAATGGTGACAGTGGACATCTTTGTCTTTTTCCTAATCTTAAGGAGAATGCTTTTCGCATTTCACCACTGACTATGATGTTAGTTGTGGGTTTGTCATATATACCTTTATTATGTTGAGATATATTCTCTGTATTCCCACTTGACTGAGAGTTGGGGTTTTTTTAACCATAAATCGGTGCTGGATTTAGTCAAATGCTTTTTCTGCATTTATTGATATGATCATATGATTGCTATCCTTCATCTTCTTTATGTGGTGTATCATGTTGGTTATTTTGCCAACTTTGTATCCCAGGAATAAATTCCAATTTATCATAGTGTATGAGCTTTTTAATGTATTACTGAATCCAATATTCTAATATTTTATTGAGGATTTTTTTCATCTATGTTCATCAGAGACATTGGCCTATAATTTTCTTTGTTTGGTTTTGGAATCAAGGTAATGCTGGCCTCTCTCACAAAATGAGCATGAGAGCCTTCCATTCTCTGAAATTTTTTGGAATAGTTTTGGGAAGGTAATTAATTCTTCTTTGAGTGTTTGGTAAAATTTACCTGTGAAGCCATTTGGTGCAGAACTTTTGTTTTTGGGAGCTTTTGATTGCTAATTTGATTTTGTTAGTACAGTTATCCGTCTTTTCAGAAGATTGTATGTTTCTAGGAACAGGTTGTCCAATTTGTTGGCATATTATTGTTCATAGTATTTTCATATATTCCTTCATATTTCTGTGGTGTCAGTTGTCACTTCTCATTTATTTCTGATTTTATTTATTTGGATTCTCCCCTCTCTTTTTCTGATTCTAAGAATATTTATTATTTTAAAATGTTTCCAGAGCAAAGTAGTTCAAAGAAATCCCTCTCCCCTCAAGCCTTTGTGCAGTTTCTCTAAAATAAAGATGAACTCTTGATAACAAAACAGGGTGCACAGAGCAAGGGCAATATGTTCCAGAGGCTTCTGTCATACCACTAGAAACAGAAACTCATTTTTGCCTGCTCTGTGCAGGTGTCAACTGATGGTTGTTGGCACCAACTCAACGCCAGTAGGAACCCCCAGTTTGGGGTGAGTGAAGAAGGAAACTTTATTCAGTGGAAAGCGGTTCAGTCACAGTACAGTACAGCTGTGAAAACAGCATGGGTGCGAGGCAGCCTGGGGGCCAGGCCCCGCCCTCTCTTTTCCATGAGTTTGGTTAAAGGTTTAAGGTTGGTCAGTTTTGTTTATTTTTTCAAAGAACTAACTCTTGGTTTCATTGATCTTTTAAGCCTCTATTTCATTTATTTCTGCTCTGTTCTTTATTTTTATTTATCAGTTTGGGCTTTATTGTTCTTTTCTAGTTCTTTTAGGTGTAAAGTTAGA